CACGGCCGACTTCGGCCGCGTGGCCGCCCGCCACGTCGGGGCGCCCGTGCCCACGCACGGCTTCTCCGCCTTCAAGTTCGTGCCCGACACCGACGACCAGATCATCGTGGCCCTCAAGTCCGAGGAGGACGCCGGCCGCGTGGCCACCTACATCATGGCCTTCACGCTGGACGGCCGCTTCCTGCTGCCCGAGACGCGCATCGGGAGCGTCAAGTACGAGGGCATCGAGTTCATCTGAGCCCCCGAGGCCGCGCCCGCGTGGGCCTGCGCTGTGGCCTCCCTCTGGCCCTGGGGTCTGCGCCCGGCCGCTCTCCAGAGCGGGTTTGCCCCCGCGGGCACCTGCCGGGCGGCCCCTCGCGGGTGTCTCGGCCAGCGCCCCAGCGGCGGCCGCCTCCTGCCTTTGCACCTCAGGCGTGACGTCCACCCCTCCCTGTCCGCGGGGCCTCGGGCGGCTGCGGGAGCCAGGCCCGGGCGCTGGGGGGCGCCCTCCCCCCCCGGAAGAATCTGGCGATTCCCTGCAGGAAATGGGGGGCTACGTGGCACTTTGAAGCTTTGATTATGAACTGAAGTTAATTAAAGCAGTTTTATTTCTTGTAACGTGGAGTCGTCAGGTCGTGCACACAGCAAAGCCCCTGTTCTCACGAGCCTCCCGGGCAGTGCAGGGCTGGGCAGCTCAGTGACAGTGGGGGGCCGGCGGGACACCGCGGTAAGGAAACACCCCCTCTTCCTGCGACTCAGAACTCGCCACGCCTCTGCAGACGTCCAGGGACGTGAGTTTCCCGCCTTTGCTCACGTGGGGCCCCGGTTCTCGTGAGCCGCCTGGCCGCAGCGCCAGGGGCCTGTGCTCGGGGCCGCCGTCCCCCGCCCCCGCGGCCCTTCCCCGGGCAGCTGTGGCCGCGGAGGGTTGGGACGGACCAGCCAGGGCCAGGCTGTTCTAGGAAGGCCGTTGACCCCAGGCCGCGGGGGCTCCCTCACCCCAGGGGCAGCCCCCTGGGAGGGGCCGGCGAGGACCCCCTTCCTGGCTCTGCTTGGCTGTTTCTCCCCAAAACACTGAGTATCGGAAGACGAGAAAACAAGGCACCGACACGGGCATGTCTCAGGCCTGGCC